GGCACCTTGAATTTCGTTCTTCCAGCTAAATTATGACTTTTTTTCAATTTTAAGAGATTTTCCACGAATATTTTCTTGTGAAAATAATTTTTGATGATAAATCGTGTCCCCCAAAAAATAAGAATTGAAATGACTGGAAAAAGAAAACGGATGTTTTAGACTATTCTTCTAACCGCTCTTTAAGACCGCCCTCGATATTTTTTAAGAGAATCTGTCAATCCCACAATCCTTCTCAATTTATTTCTAATTTCTAAAATCCTAGTTCCTAAACTTTCAATTTAATCCAAGCTAATTCGCAGCAACTTTTAGGGAAAAAAAATGTTTCAATTGTATTTTTTATTTTATCCTCTACTTCTTCTTCTTCTTCTTCTTCTTCTTCTTCTTCTTCTTCTTCTTCTTTTTAGTATTCTTTCCGAAGAAAATACACTTTATCATGTTGTATCGACATGTACCAAGCCTCAGAAGGGTATTGCGCCGAAATAAAACGAATTTTAAAATCGCAAGCCCTGAAAAATTAAAGAATTTTGAAATCCGAAAAAAATATTCACCCTCTGCATCGCAAGCCCTGAAAAATCAAGAAATTTCGAAATCCGAAAAAAATTTTCACCCTCTGCATCGCAAGCCCTGAAAAATTAAGGAATTTTGAAATCCGAAAAAAATATTCACCCTCTGCATCGAATTCCTCGCACTGTGAGCAAAAATAAAAAAAAAAAAACTGGTGAGAAGACGAGTGAGTCGTCAAAGGCCAGGTGATGTACGGCGGAAATAAAGGCGAGTGGAGCGATCAAGGCCGTGTCACGCGGTGCGAAACCGGTGATCGGCCGTAAAGTCAGCGAACATCAATATTTTCGTCGGCGAGACGAGCAGCGGCGAGCAGGTAGCGCGCGCGGGGCCGGCACCGGCTCATTCGAATTCAAATTCGAAAAGCGAGCGGAGGTAATTCATGCAAATTTCCGCCGCCCGCCCGGCCGTCCGTAACTGTCCTAATATTGGGGCTCGCCTCCGAGAGCGATCCCTCCTAATTCCACTATCAATCAATCAGCCGAAAATTTATTTCCCCGCCCGGCTGCCGGATTTCGGTCGGACGTGATCGGAAACGACGGATTGGAACCCAGACGAGGGAGGTAAATTTTGTGCCTTGAGGGATCTTGTTAGTTTCTTTCTTTCTTTTTTTAGTTGGAAAAAAGGAGAGACGTATTCGGGCCTCGTTTTTTAACTTTTTTTTAGAATCTGAGCGACACCTTACTGATGACAGCATCCAGCAGAACATCGCGAGTTGACGCTTTACCGCCATCGCGCCTTCAATTTTGCAGATGCAACATGGATATCCATCAAGTACGAATAGGTTGTATCTCTGCGCCGTCGTCAACGCGCATCCTTTCCCTTGCTCTATTTCCATGTTGTGTACGTTCCGTTTGTCTTATTTTTTTAGTCATGCTTCGTGGGCCACGTGAGCAACATAGCCGAAGTTAGAAAAGACGTAATTGGACCTTGTTTTTTAGTTTTTTCTCCCGAATGTGAGCGACATCTTAACAGCGCATAGAGCAGGGCATTGCGAGTTTACGCTTCGCGCCATCGCGTCTTCAATTTTGCAGATACGACACGGACATCCATCAAGTTCGAATAGTTGTATCTCTGCGCCGTCAACAATGCGCGATCTTTCCCGTATTTTCTTGTTGTGTTGGTTCTGTTTGTCTTACTAGTGGTACGTCAAAGGCCATGTAAGCAACACAGCCGAAGAGCTCTGATTTGTAATCGAAACCCGATTTTTAACTTTCCTCGACAATCTATTAATGATACCTCATTGGCAGCTCAGAGAGGAGTATTGACAGTTCATGCCTCACGCCATCGCGCCTTCAATTTTGCAGATGCAACACGGGCATCCATCAAGCACGAATAGTCGTATCACTGCGCCGGAACCAACGCACATCTTTTTTGTGGCCTTATTTCCATTTTGTGTTGGTTCTGTTTTTCTTAGTAGTGGTGCTTCAAAGGCTATGTGAGCAACATAGTCGAAGATAAGAGGTACATAATTGGGCCTCTTTTATAACTCTTCTCCCGAATCTGAGTGACACCTCATTGGCAGCACATAGCAAAACATTGCGAGTTCATGCCCCGGGCCATCGCGCCTTCAATTTGGCAAACGCAACACGGGCATCCATCAAGCACCAATAGTTGTATCTCTGCGCCGTCATCAATTCTCGACCTTTCTCCTGCTCTCTTTCGTGTTGTGTTGATTTCGTTCGCCTTTTTATAGTGGCGCTTCGGAACGTGGAACACACAAAATAACATCATTAAAAGGACAATATTTGCCAACCTCGAGTAAAATTTAGCAGTTGAACTGAGAATAGGATTCATAAAGGGGATTACAATGATTTGTCATCGCAAAAATTTTTTTTAAAAAAAAAACGGAAAAAACAATTCTGTTACTCTAACAAACTTTAAGATAGGCGCGACCTCAAAATTTAAAAAATTCGCACTTGATTATCGTTTGTATTTTGTATTTTTTGTCATGGCAAATCATTTTAATCCCTTTCAAGGACCCATTTCTAAAGTTTTCCTGCTGTATTTTCGTCAAGGTTGGTAAAATCTCCTCGAACCTCTTTTTCATCACAATGCAAATTACATAGAGCCTTCAAAGGAAAGGAGCTGTTTAAGAAAGATTAAAAATACGACCCTTCGTCATTTTATGGACGGACCCTCAGTATCCTCTATCATATCGCACCATTCTACCAGTATATTATCGAAGCGATCTGACATCGCAGGACTCGGATCACCTCGCGTCATTTTGCATACGAAATGCACACACAACGAGCCCCTCTCAATTTGCCCACGAATTACGATGGCCGGGAGGGAGGGGGGGGGGGTTAGTTTCGAAAATTGCCACTTTAATTTTTTCCAGCCGGGGCCGGCTCACAACCGCGCGAAATTTTGAGGCACTCGGGAACGGTTTCAGGAAATCGTTTGTTTGAGCGATGGCCCGAGCGCAGACGAGAATCCGCAGGGGGCCAGGCGCAATTCGCTCGTTACTCTCCTTTACAAGCCCATACGTCTGCTTTATCCCCGCGTATTTTCAGCTAATGGTTTCTCAGATGAAAACACTCGATTTAAGAAACGACGGTATCCTTTTTTAATGGACCCCGCTTTGCGAGCGCTCTTACGAGATGTAGAGCTTATCGTGAACTAATGTCGTTATACTCGTTGAGGAGAGTCTTGGGGTTCGATTAAAAGATGATCCGGTTGATTCGACGCACGGTGGTTCGAGTCGATAAGAGAGATTGAACACAATTTGAAAACTTTCAACGCCTATATCTCCGTTTATACAAACCTTTGAGGGTTAAAAATTGGTTCCATTGGTTTCCTTGTGTAATTCTCTTCAAAAGGCACCCCTTGAACTTTAAGATGTGACGAAATATACCTCAAAATTCGCTGTTTTTGTCAAAAATTTCTTGTGCGAACTGTCCAACAGACTCGATCCACTGTGCGACGGTAGAATATAATTGGAGTTTCCTGTAGGTTTGATGGACGGCATTCCCGGACGGCTATTATCGCCGCTACTCGTCTAGGTTTCGTTTTAATGAAACCCTCAAACTGGATTTACATCTGAATTTGAAGAATGACTTGCGACTTTTCGGAGAGTCGCAGATGGTGGAAACATTAAAAGACGCTCGTGTTGGGTGGTTGACTGAGTTTTTAAGAATTCTTATCCTCACGAACATACGGTCAGGGAAAAATTCGTTGATTGCCATTTTTCAAAAAAAAAAAAAAAAAAAAAAAAAAAAAAAAAAAAAAAAAAAATAATAATTGAATGGATTTTTTCCATATACCGGCTGTTCTTGATATGTCATGAATAAATTAATCCCATAAAAATGACATGCGATTTCGTGGAAATCATTTTAGGGCCTGAAATGCGGAGATAGGAGAGTATTCTCTCCGGAACGATACGGACTGAAATTTTAAGACGCAACTTAAAACCTATTTAAAAGTTCCTCGTACACCTAGGAACAGAAAGATCTCCTTCCCAAGGCAACTTCAAGGATATTTCTTGTCGAGAAACTTTCAAAGAGAGCCTCGAAATTCCAGCCTGAAAGTTTGATAAGATTAGGGCTTCAACGAAAGATGCTTTCCATGACTTCAATACGAGTGAACGCAAGAAAATTAGTTACGCCTTCAATTTCGTAGACACCCCTCAGGTACTTACAAGGCCCTCGAGTCTCTTAGTGTTGGCTTATACACACAATCGTACGGTCGTTCCTGCTTTTGGCCTAAAGAGAGGCGGCGAGCCTTCATTTTTTAGCATATGCAACACAGACATCCATGAAGCACGAATAGTCGCATTATACTGCCGTGCTAAGGAAGAACGCCGTATGAACATTCTAGAGTTGCAAAATTTCCTACGATAAAATATTTATTTTTGAAGAAAATTGTGAATATTCTCCCTTGAAATTTTCAGACCTTTTAGATCAGATTACAAACAAAATTATTTAAGGAATTGACAGAAAAATATTCAAAAAATTTCCCGAAAATTAGTGATGTGCCGGAGGAAATTTGGCAACGCCTGAAGGTTCATACGGCGTTTTTCCTTAGCACGGCAGTATAGGCGTTATAATTAACACTGTTCGCTCCTACCCACACTGGAAAAAAAACACATTGGATCTAGAGTCCAGACTCTTGAAAACATCAACAAGAAAAAATACTCTTGATTCAATCAGATTTAGGCTTAAATCATGAACCAAGCCTCTTAATTTGAGCGGATTTCCTTTTGATTTAAGCTTAAATCTGATTGAATCAAGAGTCCTTTATCTTGTCAATGTTTTCAAGAGTCTGAACTCTAGATCCAATGTGTTTTTTTTCTAGTGCAGTTGCAGAAAGCGCGAGGAAGTGCCTTCAGTTTTTTGTGATGCAACACGAACATCCATCTAGCACGGTTTAAGGTGTTATTTTTATATTTTATTTTTATAATTGTTAGTAATTGTTCCTTTTATTTGTTTCTGTTTCAGAGCAATCGCGGTACTTAACGGCGTACGCGTGCGAGGGGAAGACACTGAAGATCGAATGCGAGGAGGGGGAGTTGATCAACCTGATCCGGGCCAACTACGGCCGCTTCTCCATCACCATCTGCAACGACCACGGCAACACCGACTGGAGCGTCAACTGCATGTCGCCCACCTCCCTCCGGGTCCTCCACGCAAGGTAGGCAACCACCAACACACCTTAAACTTAATTCACATTCAATCACCTTTTATCGAAAATATTTCACTCATAGGTAGAGGAACAATCCATGTCGTAAAGAATCTGCTACCTCGGAGTATATCGATGGCTGAAGTACAAAATCGCGCATCTTCGTTGCGGTGTTTCAATATTTCCGCTCCTAACTTATTTTTTCGAAGAGAAAGAAGCCCACTGTACAGCGTAAAATTCGTACAGAATGTTCTGCTGACGGAGAGAAAAAATCAAGGAACTAAAAGAAAAGCTTAAAACGTCGTATAAGGGCCAACAAGAAGGTATCAGGCCTTGTCTCCACGAGACGTTTTCATGGGATTTGTCCCAAGTTCGAATCGCAGGAATGAAACTTCTGGGATTTTTCCCAGCTACCGTCTCCACGGGACGAGGCTCATACGGTCCTGCGACTAGTTTGGGCGGGAAGATAAATTAGTTAAAGTCGAGTATTTAACCGGGATTAGAATAATAATTGCACTCAATTGACAATTAGACACATTATTTTAACTAAACAAACCTGAACAATGGAGTATTAAACAAAATATCGCACAATTCGTTTTCACTTCTTCCTCTCTCAGTGGGTCCTTAGGAGTAAAAGGACCATACTTGGTACTGGGAAAAATATTGATTAACTCAATATTTTTCCCAACTTCGTAAGTGGGATTTTTCCCTGGGACAAATCTCGTGAAAAGGCCCGTGGAGACAAGGCCTTATAAAGGGGTTGAGTGGTTCTGCTTTCGGTGCCCCAAAAGCAGAAGTCTCCATTTGCCTCCAAGAGACTATTTAGTGGAATGTGTCCGATTGTCCCCGCTGTCCACTATTGATCCACTCAAATGATGATGGGTCAGATAAGGAGCCGTGTATGATCCTTTAAGCAATTGCATCGCTAAGCACATGCTCTTGCTTTATGTTTGATTGGCTATTCGGTATCGACTCTGAGATTTAATTTATAGCCACTGCCTTTCACCCCCTCCCCTCATCTTATGCTTTGGCCAATCAGAGATTCCCAATCTACGCCCGCGGCGGAAATAGCTCCTCGTTTCCGGCTATAACCGGAAGGAGAATTGTCCGCATTGCAATTCTCATCAAGGAGTCTCTGCCTATGAGTGGGATATTTTGGCGTCGTATCATGTGTTTTTTCTATTTTCTTCTATTATTTTGGATGCACGTAAGGCTTGACATAAGGATTGAATGGAGTCCACTCGCTTTTTACATGCTGTGAACTCGCTGCGTCTCAACTTGGAATTTAAAAGCTTGTTGAAGTAACCTAAATTTTTCGAAAGATTTTCTATTTATGCCTATTCGGCACTCAAAAAATGCATTGAGTTTTTACTTTTCATCCCCGAGACTTTCAAAAGTCCGGTGAATTTGGAAGAGAACCCGGATAAAGTAAATATGGAAGTAATATAGTGGATTTCCGTTCGAAGTCAGTGTCAAGCCTTACTTTTGATAAGCTTACGCACTGAGAAAAAAAGGGAGAGGTTTGGTAAATTGAGTTTTTATCCCCCTCTCGTTGGCCTTTGTCAATATTTAATTTTAAAAATTAATTGATAAATTATATTTTGATTATTGGCGGATCCAGCAAATTGGTAACGCTGTCTTCTCTCTATTTAAACCTATGGAAATGTATCGATTCTTGGAGGGGCCAGGTGCTCCGAGAGGAATCGATTATTTAGCATAGCTTTAAATGAAGGAAATCCAGTGTTGTATTATTGCTGGATCCGCCTCTAATTTTGATAAATAATTCAATTTTATCGCTAATTCCAATTATTGATTTAATGTGGTCTTATTTTTCACACGCTTCCTGTAACCAAGATATTTTAGTCGTTCTAACAGGAAGCTCGCCCGACAGAGATGCGAATGCTGTTAGAACAGAGAGATTTTTGTAAAACACTGTTCATATTGATCTGGGAACGATAAATATTGCCTCGGTTTTTTTTCTCAGTGCGTCAATAAATTCAATTGGGATTTGTTCGCTATAAACCCGAGACGACCCTTGTGTTATTGAACCATAAATCGCCAAGCGTATAACTGTTTTTTTATTAACAGAAAACCCTCGAGGACCAGTGACGTAGCGTACTTTGCGATATATCGGTTGATCTGCCATTTAAACCTATGGGAAAGGATCGATGAACAGGGTGTTCCTTAATAATCGATTCTTTACCATAGCTTCAAATGGGGAACTATCGAAAATCGATCAATCATGCCTCGCTTTGCAATTACGCTCGGTCATTCTTTTCTCTCCGTTTTTGTTTCATAAATCCATACATTCGAGTTAATAATATTTCCTTCTGAAGATTACTTCCAGCGAAAGCACCCGTTCATGTGTTTTTAAATTCAAACGCATACAAAGCCGTCTCCGCGTCAATTAATCTCCTCGAAGTTTTCTTTTGACAAGCCCCTTTCCCCCTCTCCCCGGCCTTTTGAGCGGGTCCCTCGGGATTTTTCGAAACCAGCCGAAATGATAAAAATATCACGCCTCGATGCCCTTGGCACTTATCGGTAGCTTTGCAGACGGTGAATTTTTGCCCCCGCCCTCCCCTCTCACCCGACTGTATGTGCGTGTGTAGGCGTGAGTTTACCATAGCTACAGGGTGACCCGAAAATGCGTACCCTCTCTGAATTTACAGGGAGCTTCAGAACTTAATTCAGCGCCGAAAGCTCCTCAAAATGGACTTCATTTTGCAATTGGGAACTATGAAGTCTTGCTTATACGTAAAAACACGTATGTACGTAGGTATACTAATGTTACATACGTTGTTTCTAAACTGGAGCCAGGAATCGTAGTTCCGAATTGCAAAATGTGACAGTTAAGTGGCATGTTTGTAATAATATTAGTAATCATACGTTTGTGCCCTTACTCGTAGGTTTTTTCCATTAAGAGAGGATCCTGTGTCGGGAGATGTGGCTCGGAACTTAGGTTCCTTTTCCACTATCGCCGACATTCAAATGTTAAAAAAAGACGTTTAAAGAGCAAATTTGGTAGAATCACTCTATAGTTGATTCGTCGACCCTCAAAGAACAGAACTTCGTCAAAAAGTCAATTTTTTACAATCATAAGCGGATCCAGACACCCCGAACGGCGGTGGGGGGGGGGGGTTCCGAGGGCCTCCCCCAGACAAGTTCTGAATTTTTGAAGCATCTAACATACAGTTTGAGTCAATTTTGTCATAAATAATTACCAAATGTATGCGTCTTTCCTTCCTCTTTCTTCCTTCTCTTTGTCTTCCTTCACTGGAAAAAAAACCACATTGGATCTAGAGTCCAGACTCTTGAAAAAATTGACAAGAAAAAATACTCTTGATTCGATCGGATTTTTTCTCGAATCAAAACGAAATCCGCTCAAATTAAGAGGCTTGGTTCTTGATTTAAGCTAGATTCTGATTGAATCATGAGGACTTTTTCTTGTCGATGTTTTTAAGAGTCTTGACTCTAGATCCAATGTGTCTNGGGGGGGGGGGGGGGGGGGGGGGGAGGGCGCACCCTGGGTCCCCCGGATCCGCTTATGCTTTTAATTCGGCTGTTACGTCTCTGCTCCTCAAATAATAACCCATTCGATTCAGTCCACTTTCACGACACCCTGTACATCGGAATACCGCGCGTCAGGCGCGGATATCACCCGAGAGGAAAAATCGAATTTGAGCCCTTCTGCCCTGCCGCGAACTGTGATTGCGGATCGGTGGCGCCCCCCCCCCCCCCCCCCCCCCNCCCCCCCCCCCCCGCCCCTCCCGCCCTGTCGCGCCCTTTTTTGCGGGCGAGATAATCGCCGGCGTCCCAGAGGACGTATCCGGCGGCGTGTTTATTTGTCACACACCTCCGGCGAACATCTGACACGTCGTATCAATCATACGCTTGATATTCCTTTTTTTTTTTAATTTTTATTCGCGCCCTCCCTTCATTTCGTATTTTTTACTACCGGCTCCCCCGTGACATGGCCTTCCGACGGTGATTTTTCACCGGCCGCGATTCGGATAGCGTATCGCAAACGATTGTTAAATTGGTTTCAGGGGGACTTTTAATTCAATATTGAGTGAACCCTGTGCCGTCGCAAGACCGATAAGGAAAACCAAGGATCCCCTGTTCTGAGTTGAAATTCCCATGCGTATGGTTTCTAAATTACTATTTTCCGATCACATCAACCAAATGGCCTTTGCTAATCAACCAAATTTTTGGTGATTCGATGGACGCCATATTTTGTGTCAGAACGGCATGCGATATTTCGCATCAATTGGTTCCATTTTTTCAGCTACTCGTCATTTTTCTCCAATTTTGAGATCGCAATCCTGTTGTCAGGAGACTAAAGCACTCACCTACCAATTTTAACAAAGAAATTCAACGTAATAAAGGCGTGGTTTTTTCAGAGAGAAAATANGCACTCGAATGCTATAATTTCTCTCTGAAAAAACCACGCCTTTATCACGTTGAATTTCTTTGTTAAAATTGGTAAGTGAGTGCTTTAGTCTCCTGACAACAGGATTGCGATCTCAAAATTGGAGAAAAATGACGAGTAGCTGGAAAAATGGAACCAATTGATGCGATATATCGCATGCCGTTCTGACACAAAATATGGCATCCATCAAATCACCTTAAACGGAAGATACACTATTTTTTGTTTGGGCCCTTCACTTTTGAAAATTTGCTCAAAATGCCCCCGGAAAAAATTGATAAAGCTGTAGGATTTTTCCGGAAAAATTTTCTGTATCTGTATTTCCCTACATAGGCACTCTAAATCCGGACTTCGGGGACGGCGCGGCTAAAAGCGGGGGATTGCGAGTTCGACGTGGCACTGGCGGGGCGGTTTCGATGCACCCCGCGATGACGGCTCCGGAGTGCGGATCCGCGGCGACCGGCGAAACCGGTTCCCGACCGGCCCGGCCCGGACGCAGCGCCCGGGCAGCACCGAGTCCATCATTTTTTCCACTTACCTTATCAGTGCGCGCTCTCCGGCCGGTTTTCTGGGCGAGGGAGACCCC